TGGGCCTAAGCCATCAAGGTTGTTATTCCCGAGGGGTCCCAGACTGCTAGAGGGCACAGGCCAGGCTGAGGGACACCCCCCCTCCCCCCCGAGTGCACAAATTTTTGTGCACCGGGCCTCTAGTATATATATATATAAAACCAGGAGTCGTTACACCTTACCTGGGGGCAAGCAATGATCTGCCAGATTATAAAAGAATATGCCAAGATGGGACTTCATAAACCAAATCCCAAACCAATTTATAGCAACAAGTTTTTATCCTGTTTTCTTGTTTGTTTCATTTTTATGTAGCATCAGGCACACAACACAAAGTAACTGTGGAGTCTTCTTCCTTTTAATGCTTACATATTGGGTTGAACCATGGGAAATCACTGCTTACAAAATGGCAATTTCACATAATTTAACCTAATATTATCCTCCCATGGATATTAATTATACTCTTTGGGTTTATTATTCTGTTTTGTATCACAACTGCAGACGTGTCATGTGTTTATTACACAGAATTGTCCTCTAGAAGCCCCATACAGACTGCATTCCCGAGTGAGGGGCCTATAACAGTGATGGTGAACCTATGACACGCGTGCCAAAGGTGCAATGTGAACTCATTTTTTTGGTTGATTTTTCTTTGTTAAATGGCATTTAAATATATAAAATAAATATCAAAAATATAAGTCTTTGTTTTACTATGGTTGCAAATATCAAAAAATTTCTATATGTGACACCGCACCAGAGTTGTTAGGGTTTTTTAAAATGCTGACACGCCGAACTCAAAAGGTTCGCCATCACTGACTATAACATAGACTAGCTGACTTTGGCACCTGTGGATTACCATCCAAGGATGGATGACTCCCTGCTATCAACTGCTAGGTGGCAGTTATGCCACCTCCATAGCACAGTCCACCGAGAACACTTGGACTCCTCAGGCCATGAAGCTCTGCAAAGCTGGAAGGGTAATGGCAGCAAGAGTGAGTCTCAAAGTGTGGACTGTCTGCTAAGTCAGCAATGCCCAATTGTAGTCTAAGAAGGCAGCACATCTCCAAACCACCTACTTTTTCCTTCTCTCACTACGGGGACCAAACCCCACTCACCAGAATTTGTGAATTTCAGCACACCTTTCAGTAGTGACACCATCACAGGAGTGTCACCAAGAATATGTCTCTCCTCTCATTTGTTCTTATGATTAGTTGCACTGACTAGCAGAATTGACATCAACAATGATTAGCCCTGCAATGACTAACAGACTCAAATTGATATGCTGAGACACTCAATTTTTGAAGACTTTGGCTATACTGAGTAAATAAGTTATCTGTATGGAATTTTTACAAACAAAATTGCAAGTATTAGGAATACTTTTGAATGTCTGCTTAGTCCACCAGGAGGAATTACCAAAGGTAAACAACTGCTTGTAAGGAAACTACAGGTAAGTGTAACACCTCTGAAAGGCAATTAACAAAGAAGAAAGTCTGTTCTGTGACAGCAAGTGAAATGTCATCTGAGTAGCATCTTGAGAGGAGATGAAACAATGAGTATGGATTAGACTGAGTTTGAGGTCCTCAAAATGAAGGTTTTTTAAGAAATTGGGCTGCTCCCCCTTGTGGCTATGTAGACACATTGTAAATGACTTTTTGTATAAAGTTTTTCTATGCTAAAATGTTAGGCTCTTATTAGCCCACTTTTTATCACCTCTCTTTTAAAGAAAAATGGATTGTGCCAAATACTGAAATGCCACTTAAATGTCAAAGAAAACTTACGGTGGTAGAACCAAAAGAAAGGATGTCCACAACAGGGGGAGTAGAGGTCCGCAAGTCAGTTACCTCAAGCTTTGGATTAATCTGTGCATGTACATAAGAAAAGTTAATATTAGAAATTTATATTATAAGAAACTGGAGGACATTTATAAAACTTAGAGAGCATTTCCTAATATATTCTATATTTAAAGTACATTGGTATATTCATTAACATGGATATAAAAATTTTAATCAAAATATTAGCCTATTGAATCTATCAATGTATAAGAAAAGATCATGACCAAGTTGAATTTATTCCAGAAATAAAAAGTTAATTTTACATTTGAAAATCAATATAATTCACCTAATAAGGGGATTTAAAAACAAAATAAAATGACCCACCTCAAAATGCAGAAAAAATCCTAGCCAGTTTATTAACACAAGAAAAGGAAACAAAAGTTGTTAAGATGTAAGAATTGGAATAGAAGAAATAAAATTGTCATCATATATTATATAATTGTCTATGGAGAAATACCCAAAGAATCTACTGCTACATCATTAAAGCTAAAAAAAAGTTTACTAAATTGAAAATAAATTGTATGTCTGTACTTCAAGATAGTTAGAAATATAAATTTCAAAAAGATATTTACAATACCATAAAATAAATACATCAGAATTTATATATATAAAAGCCTAAGTGACCATTCGACCGGTAGCTATGATGCGCAATGACCACCAGGGGACAGATGCTCCGACTGGTGGGTTAGGTTGCTGCTGGGGCCCTGTCAATCCCGAATCTGGTTCAACTGCACCCTGGACCCAGAGAGGAGGGAGAGGGAGCCTGATTCCTCACGGAATTGGCCGTGGATTAGTTTATTGCTGGGGCCCTGTCGGCCCCGAAACTGATTCACCTGCACCCCAGACCCAAAGAGGTGTGGGGAGGAAGCCCAATTCCTCATGGAATCGGCTGTGGGTTAGCTTGCTGCACCAGATTCCCTTTTAATGTGAACGAATCCGTGTACTGGGACACTAGTAAACATATAAAAATGGATATAGCCCTGACGGGTTTGGCTCAGTGGATAGAGCATCAGTCTGCAGACTGAAAGGTCCCAGGTTCGATTCTGGTTAAGGGCATGTACCTTGGTTGCAGGCACATCCCCAGTAGGGGATGTGCAGGAGGCAGCTGATTGATGTTTCTCTCTCATCGATGTTTCTAACTCTCTATCCCTCTCCCTTCCTCTCTGTAAAAAATCAATAAAATATATATTTTTTAAAAATGGATATGACCTATACAGGAAAAAATAATCAAACTCATGTAAAGACACAAAATAAAAATTCCTAACATAAGGAGCTCAGATGGAGAGCCCTGTATGTACGGAAAATAAATATAAAAGGAAAATGGTACCTCAAATCAACAGAGGAAAGATGATTTATAGTTGAAAAAACTGGCTCATTATATGGGCCCCTGACTAATATACTACATACAAAGGTAGATAACATATCAACTAGAAATCTGTTATGTCATTATAAAGTTAATAAAGATAAATATATAAGAATATCTTCACAACCCAGGGTCGAGAAGGACTACTAGTACTTACACAAAAGCTGCAAAAGCAAAACCACAAGGAAAAAGAAAAAAAATATTAATGCATCTGATTATATCAAAAGTAAGGATTTCTGTTTAACAATGAACATCACAAAGTTAACACTCAGATGATGGAACAGAGGAGGAAGTTATGATGTCTAAAACTAAAAAGGGCAAGTATCTAAAATCCATAAGAAAAACCTACAAATCAACGTGAAAAAGACAGAAATCTCAAGAAAAAGATTATAGGAAAGAAAACCCGACAGCCTACCAGCATATAAAGGGGTTTTTAGAAACCTTAGTAATTAGAAAAGATGAAAGGAAAATAGTACTTGACACCTATTAAACTGAAAATACTCAAAAGCTCAATGACACCAACATCAGTATCAGCACTGTTTGTAATGCAAAAAAGAAAAAATAACCATGGCCGAAAGCCCCAAATGTTTATCAACAGTAGGATAGATACATAAATCATGGAGATTACTACTGTGATAAATTCATCAGAATCACACACAGCAGTGAAAGAAATGAACAACTACATGCAACAACATGTAAATGTACAAATACAGAGTGCATACATGATTCTCAGGATTTTAATATTATATTAAAAAATAGATTACAGAAAAATATACTCAGTATGATTTCATTTGTATAAAGTTTAAAACCATCAAACCATACTTTTATGTGAAATATAATACTTTTTTTAAAAAAGCAAAGGAATAATTAACTAGAGTGGCGACTACTTTTGAGGGAGGTTATTTCCGAATTTGAGAAAATAAAATTAAACCACATCACCACCAACTATTTATTGCACATTATGAACAGAAGTGAACAAAGGGCACCGAAGACAGCAGAACTTGTTATGAAATGAATGATAGGAGTAAGGACTCTGAGCACCTGGTGAGAAAGGCCTTCTATGGAGGACACAGAGCTGAAGACGGCTCCCTTACAGAAGGTTTCGAACACACACACACACACACACACACACACACACACACACACCACAGCAATGAGGTAAGAAACATTTCTGGGCAGACAGGTGAATGCCGACTTTTGCACAGGGTAGCAATAAGAGAGGTTGGCAAAGGTCAAATTGTGAAGGGCGGAGGAATTTAGGAAGGCACAATAAAACTGGAAGCTAAAATGTGCTTTAGAAAGATCAATGGGACAGAGACATGCAGGGTATCAAGAATAAAGCAGGGATAAGAGTGAGGACACTATTGTAACAGTCCTGGGCAGTGGAGGTGAGGGCGGAGTCAGAGGTTAGAGGAGTGGAATGATTTTAAAAGCTCTTATCCTATTTGAAGGGTATAGCTGTAGTTTTGGAAACATGAAGAAACTTTTATAGTTATTCAGCCAATTGTGTTAGAGGCAGAGGTATACACACCCAGTCATCGCCCTGCTACAGTAAGGAAGAGATGAGAACTTCAGGGTGAGAAGGGGGACTAGCTTCTCAACTCCCGTGCTCCTTCCTGGCTGTCCACAGAGCAGAATACACAGCCACATCCTACGGGTTCTGAGGCCAGAGTTAAGGCGCAAGACAAGAAACCTGCAGATGACAGCGTTCCTTTCCATCTTAAGACAAGCTGTCCTAAGAAATTGCTTGCAAACATTCTATTCTCTTTTATCTACTGCCACCTAGTGTAGATATGAAACTGTTTCCCTATGAAAAATACAATCTGGCTTTTCCACCTGAACCTGGAACTGCTCTAAAAATCGAAATCACGTGGAAATAAATGGTCAGCATCTCTCATTGAGAAATGCTTGAGCTGATATAAGCTGGGAAACTGTGTAACAGCATTTTATTGTACTGTGGCACAAGTTACTGACATATACGTTAAACAGAGCAGGAAATTCTTAAGTAGAAGTTCACATTCTTCTCCATAAAAAAAAAATATGCTGGGGATGGAGAAGGGAGGGTGACAGTCACAGTTAAGTTCTTTGCTAGCTGACCTTCAGGAATACCAACACTACCTTCTACCTTTCCATTTTTATTAGAAGGAGAAACCTTTAATAATTAATTGCCTCAAAATGAAGTGGGCCCTTAGGAGAGGCTGAATGCTCTATCACTGAACACAGGGCATATTATTGAGAGATTCATGCAAGAGGGAGAGGTTAGTCTATATGACCGCAGAGGGAGAGAACCCCACTCTGAAGTTCTCTGTATCCATCATACTTAGGAATTCATGAACACAAACATCACTACTAACGAATTCTGAAGGGCAAGGAATCTGCCCACTTTGTCCCCTGTTACACACCCTAAAGCTACTACAATGTCCAACACATAGATATGTTAACTTTGATTATATTGAGCCATTACATCAAAATGATTAAAAATACAGAATGGAACCAGAGTGCGTGGGTTGAATTCTAGTGTTCCCACCTACTAGCTTTATGATTTAACTACCTCGATTTCTCATGGAATAAAAATGGTACTACTTCACAGAGTTTTTAGGAAGATTAAATGACTTAATTTATGTGAAGGAATTAAAATAATGTTGTATGTGTTATATATTATTAGTATTATTATCATGTAATCTCTGAAGAACAATTCAATAATACAGAACAAAATAATATAGCCATATGTACTCCAGCTAGAACTAAAATACAAGATTGGTAGAGAAATATTTTTTTTTACCATAAATTATAATGTTTTCTACCTTTATACAAGATTGAAATAAAGCTCAATCTCAGACTTGAAGACTTAAACTGATCACTTGTAGTTTTCAATAATGAATCATGTCCAGATTTTTATACAAATATTTGGTTATGTTAAAAGAAGTTTTCCTTCCTACTAAATATCATACAGAATTTCCAATGCAATTTATAGATTAAGATAGTCTTAAATAGCCATTATAAAATTAAAGGCCAATGGAGCAATTATTTTATTAATACTCTTAAACTGATTAACCACCATCCCTTCCTCTAATATTCTACAATTCTCCCAGAATAACTATTTTGATGCCTTACTGTCACCAAGATCTAACACCATCCCTTAGAATGACTCTATTGTCTTCCAATGAAAATATGCACAAGAGTTGGGGATTGCTCAGGATAAAGCATCATGCACTCACATTAAGTTCCTTCTCCAAGATGTGAAGTCTGCTTTTGTTTGGGAGCAGGGCTGGGCAATTTATAGTAGCTCCTGACAGCTTGAAGTCAGCATGACCTAGGAATGTGCCATAGCACAGTGTGGGCAGGGCTAAGACACATTATTTAGAAATTAGGCTTCTTTCCCACCAAAAAAAGAAAGAAGTTGTTCTCATGTTTTTAATTAAGATGGAGTGCCTAGGACAGGAGTGCTACAAAGGATCTGCAGTTAGATCAACAGAGAGGACACAGGAGGGGTCTGCTTCCCACAGCGGGGTAAGGAATTTATGCCTCATACCTTCTTTCATGTGACCTTCTTCTCTCATGTATTCTAAAAGCAAACTGCTATCTTCCTGTCTACCCATGTAGAAATTAGTAATTTATATATTTAGTCAGCTGGTACTCAAGGCCTAAGACTCCGCAGGCTCCCCCACCTTCAAAGGAGTGGAGCACTTAAGGCTGGCAAATGGGTGGCTTTTGCAAAAAAGGCTAAATAATCTCACCCAGGAGATTGAAATTATGCAATTCAAATGAGTTTCATGGAAAACAGAATAAAATTTAAATCACAGAAATGCAATGTTGCTTCAAACTTGGAAAGTTTGGAAAGTAACTTTCATGGTTACTGCAGAAAGAAAAAGTTAGTGAAATTAATCAGATTATAGATGCCATTTACTCCATATCCTTTCATAATACATTTTTGTTCTTTTAATCATGAATTCCAACCTCAAAAATGTTTTTTTGCTAATTTTTAAACAATTCAAAAGTAACATGTAAGTTGAGTTTGCCTAAAGATTTGAAAAATACTTCAATCCACAAAACTTTGTCTTTCAAAGTAAAATGTACTTAATCTAAGTGAATACACTGCATAATAATCTAGTCTGATTCATACTATTCTATTCTAGGTGATATTTAAAGTGTTTAAAATAATTTGATATTTAATAATTATTTATTAACAATATTAAATATGTTCTCTGTCTAGAAAACTTATTATAAGAGATTTTTTTAAGTGGTTTTAAAAATTTTCCATTGATTTGTAGAGAGTGGAAGGAAGGGGGAGAGACAGAGAGAAACATCAATTAGTTGTTTTCTGCACTCAGGGATCGAGCCTGCAACAGAGGTACGGCACATGCCCTTGGCCAGAACCCAGGACCCTCTAGTCCAGTGATGGCAAACCTTTTGAGCTCGGCGTGTCAGCATTTTGAAAAACCCTAACTTAACTCTGGTGCCGTGTCACATATAGAAATTTTCTGATACTTGCAACCATAGTAAAACAAAGATTTATATTTTTGATATTTATTTTATATATTTAAATGCCATTTAACAAAGAAAAATCAACCAAAAAAATGAGTTTGCGTGTCACCTCTGACACGCGTGTCATAGGTTCGCCATCACTGCGTCTAGGCCAATGTAAGAGATTAAAAAAAAAAATTAAACAATTGTTCATATGCAGAATCCTACCACTTCTCTGGTATTTTATGTTACAGAATATGAAGGTATTTTACAAATGTTCATTTTGTACTTAATTTAAACAACCATGAGTGCTTACAGGCAATTTAAAGTAGGTACACTCAGGCTGACTTTCTTAAGACCACAAATATAATTCAGCCACAATGCTTAACATTCTGTAACTGAACTCTGATTTCAAGATGAAAAGTCAGCTTTTAATAGGATTCTTAAGTGTGTATGTGAAAAATACGGTTGAGTGTGCCTTGCATGGCCTGGGTCATCCTGACCTCGCCATACAGAGCAACCGGCCAGTTCACTCTCTGGCTGCAGTCAGAGCAGAGCTATTCAGACAACTTGTTGATGTTTTGAAGAAGGGTCAGCACTCTTACATGGCCTGGGACGGGCAGTAAATCACAGAGAAGATGGCTTGAAGTGCCAGCACTGAGGTAGTGTGGAGTCATGGAAATAGCACTGAATTAGGAGTAAGGAGAGCAGAGCTCGGCCTGCAGCCCAGCCAGCCATCCCTGTGAAAAGGTGGCTGGACGGATGACAGGGCAGCGATTACATGGATGGTTAGCTCAGTCACACCACAGTAACGCTAGAACAGAAAACACTGAGAGTGTTAGCAAAACCAGCTGGGGTTAAACAAGGAAAGGGAATGCAAATTAAAATATACTTCACATATATTTTATGTGAATACTTGTAATCACAGGGGATCAAAATACATCTATCATTGTAGAAACTGAAACACAAATGTGATGAGCCAAAAATTATATTATATACTTTCAAAAAAATAAGAGGAGTAGTAAGGCATAATGTAAATACTTTATTTAGTAGAACTGAAAAGAAGGTCAAAGTTGGAAAGGACCAAAATTATATCAAAGAACTGAAAATAAACATTACCAAGGAAAAACTAGGATAGAAACCCCCAAATGTGGCTAGATTAAACAAAACATAGAAAATAGTCCAAAAAACTTAAAAGTTTTAAAAATTTGCACTTAGGAACTCAAAATAGCTACTCTAAAACCAAAGAGAGGCTCTGTTAGTGATAAAAAAAATTCAGATGAATGGGAAATAATGATTTAATATTAACTCTTGGAAGAGAAAGGGGCTATGGAGAATCATGCAAAATAGAAAGTACTGAGCAATGATGATTTTTTTTTTTGAAGAGAGAACATTTAAATCTATAGCGCTTAAAGAAACTTGTCAACAAAAATACATCTAAATAATTATATATTTGAAAATATATGTAAGCAAATAGTAAAACAGTACCAATTATTAGGTTTAATGCCCAAATCTCTTCTTTTTATTGTCCATAAGATTTTCTTCTTTGTTATAAAAGAACTTCAAGATATTTATTTCAATAACTGTCATAAGTATTGCCCTGTAGCACTATTCTCCTGGCAGCCATCACATGGGCTTCCTACACATGCCTAGAATAAGAAACTTGCTCAGACTTTAGTCACCAAAGCCTTAGATTTGTCATTTCCTATTACTATTAACAGTTTTTAAGTTTTATTTCTAAGTCTCCAAGAAGCAAATATGAGAGCCTTTAGATCGATTACATACTGTCATATTTAAAGTTTTACGAATAAAAATAATTGTTTCTCAAAGTTCTGCTGTTGTAAGGCAGAACTAGGTTTTTTATAATTAAGTATGATTTCAAGCATCTAGTTGGCCAGTAGCCCCAAAATCTGCACTTACAAATAGCAGGACAAATATGTACAAAGTACTCACTTCAACAGTCTCGATTTTCCCTTCATGGCAATGTGGTGTTCTTGGATAGATGTCCAAAAGATGTGGTGGTGAATCAAAATGTAATCTTTTGAGATTTCTTTTAAGAACATCTTTAGAATTCAGTTCATCAAAATTAGTCCTCCATAATAAAATCTGTTTTAAAAAATTAAACAAGTTGGCAATTTATTTACTTGCATATACAAGCAATAGAACGGATTTTTTAAAAAAATGAACATATAAAAATGCCTCTCAAAATAGAAAGACTAAATATTTCAACATTACTACTTCTCAATACTTTTTTAAGGGTGAGAGATTTAGCCATCTGAATTGCCTTCATGTCATTTAAAATTCATATTAAGAAAATGACATTACCTTAAAATCCTCTTTTTTTCCCCAAAGCCCAAAACCATTTTGTCCACCATATTCAATAAATCTGACTATGAATGACTTTTGGTTATTTTAAGTAAATGCAAAATTGCTGCATAAACAATTTATATTTACAATCCTCAAGAATCTTAACATTTCAAACACAAGATACAGACAAAATATTAGGCAACAATTCAAGTGAAAGTGCCACATTAATATTTGGCATACAATAAGTGTCAGTTACATGTATACGTGTAGAGACAAGCAAAGAAAATAACTGCTATTTGAGTTCCAAGAATTATCAAAACTGTCACGATTTCAGCTATTTCAGAAATAGCAGACGTCCTGGCATTAAGTTAAAATATAAATTCATTGGAACATATACAAACTAGCTGGTTGTGAAAATCTGTGCTGAGGTCTTGGACTCCTTTGCCCCAACCTAATCAAAAAGGGAGCTGAAAGATGAACAAACCTGCATATCTGCGCCTCCTGATGAAAATAGCTCTCCACCTTTTGAAAATGAAACAGTAAAGACAGGTCCCTAAGATATAAATGGAAATTTAAAAAAAGTTACTTAGGTGATGATGTTTTCTTATGGCCAAGGATACTGTAAATACTAATTTTTTTCTAATTTATGTAGACTATTGATGCAATAAGTCTGAGAGAACATATCTAACTGCTAGCAACTAATGCAGGTAGAGTGAAGGTAATCAAAGAACCAACCCAATTATATTAAAACACATATAGATGATATTAAATGAAAAAGAAATTCTAATAAAAATTTTAAAATACACCTTTTTTCCCTTTTAAAGAAGAGCTTGTACATATGTAATTACAAGCTTTTCCAATTACAGAATTTCTGTTAAGATTGTCTGGCTTTGGACTCTTTATTCAACAAATCACTAGCAGAAACTAATGATAACTCTGAGGGTGATTAAGAATGAAGCTACATGAAAAAAAGGCCATATTCCCATTTTCTGACTTCAACAGGCTTCACTGAGTCACCCTTCATGTGGGCAGCAGTGAGCCACTAATAGTTTTAAAAGCAGGATATAGACAGGAGGAGAGCTGTGATGAAAACTGATGTCACAAACTTTGTAAACCCTATGACTGTCTAACCACTATACTGTGTACCTGAAACTAAAACAAAATAATATTGAGTGAAAATTGATGTTGCAATTGTGAGATGATGGACTGAAGTAAGAATGAATGGTTGGAGGCCAGTTAGGAAGTTACTGCAATTATTTGGGTGAGAGGTAATGAGAACTTGAAATTGAGCAATGACTGTGAAGTTGGACAAGACTACACTTGGCACAGTCACAACATGCATAGCCTCTAGGTCAACTTTTCAATCCAGATAAGAGTAATTATTTCTCATTTCAAAATACCAGTATATTCTATTCTGTTAATGTGCCCTTAATCTATACAAGAAAACTTCTGGGGAAAAACACCTTATAATTTTAAGTAGACAACCCCACTGATTTAGGTTATTGTAGCCCCATAAACATCTTTTTCCTCCACATTGTGAAAAATTCCACCTTTGTGTATAAATTTTTCTTCTAAAATATTGTTTATCTTTTTTTCTATTAATCTATTTCCATGGGTATTTTAATCCTTGGCTACTTTTATTGGTTATTTATTCAGCTTAAATACACACATGAGCTGGTTCGTGTCTATTTCTGCTTCACACTAACACAGCTGCAGAGCAAATGACAAAGCAAGCAGGAAGCCAAGCAAGATATATGAAGACAGAAAAAAACCCTTCTCCCCTAGACCACTGGCCTATTCTATTTCTGGGTATAAACTGCTTATACTTGGTTAAAAGGAAGTATCTAGTACTTCTTTTAAAAGGATACATTCTAAAAAATTTAGAGGAGTTTGAATATTTACCCAGAAAGGAGGACTAGTTTATATACTTTAAAAAGTTCTTCTTTAGTGGGTTATATGCCAGGGTGTGTGTGTGTGTGTGTGTGTGTGTGTGTGTGCGTGTGTGTGTGTGTGTGTAATTGAACAAGCTCAATAACAGGACCTCACTTCCCCAGTGGGTTATAAACCAACTGAGAAATAACACAAAAAAATAAGGCATATGAGAGCCAAATATCACCTTTCATATTGATAAAGGTTTGCAAAGAAAGAATGTGGCTTTATGTGTGCAAATGGGCTTTCTAGATCTGAATACCAGAGTGAGTCAGATCTGAGTGCCCAGTCACAGGCAAGACTGGACAAGGGCAGGCCTCCCCACAATAAGTATCAGAGGAAAAGTAAGGGCAGGCTTACTTCCAAGAGCAGAAGTCACTGGGCTCTACTTGTTGTTAAATTTCTCCTTTTAATCTCACCAGACTAGTGAAAGAAATGATTGTGGGGGTGTGAGAGGCTGAGTCAGAGCTAGTGGGACAGCCTCCACATGAGAAGAAAGGTCAGAGGTTGGGAAAAAATGTATCTATCACCACTCACCCAGTTAAACCTAAATTACATCCTGATGAAGATAATAGTGAAAGATTAATTTAATGGCTATAAAAGATACGCATTGATTTTGACAAGAATTACAATAAATATTATTTCTAATAGTTGCTTCTAGAGGATAAAAGCATCATCTTGGAGGCAAAAATATTTTTTTATAACAGGAGCAATGTATGTTGTACTTGGAAAAGTAATAAAAGCATATAATAAAACGGATCAAAACTTTAAAATATATATCATTTAAAAAACAAAAATCTCAGCATTAGTACCGAATGTCCTTGAAGTGTATATATGAGCCTTCCTTCTAGTAGATCCAAAATCTTAAGTGTACCATCTGAAGAAGCTGTGATGAGATAGTTACCCGAAGGATGGAATGATACACAATTAACTCCGCCACTGTGAACTGATTTATAGAAAATAAAGCAAAAATTTTAGAGAACAATTCTTAATTCTACCGGTAAAGATGCCCCTTCCATCTATTAGCACTATTAGGTTGAAAACAAAAATCAATTAGAGGCAATGTCCCCACAACACCAAATTTCTAAGTAGCTTACTGAAACAAATAAGTAGTTTGGCATCATATAGCTTGAGTATCCAGCTAATGAGAAAGAATAGCTTTTAATAAGAGAATATGTCATGGAAAGATGATCTTGTTAACCACATAACCAAAAATCTTCAGATATATTACCAATATAACCAACAGTTAATTATTACCGGCTCACATAAGGTATACAACCTTGCCTTAAGCTAAATTTAGTAATCAATTAGTAGCTTGGCACTAAGGGCTAAAGAGTGTGGAGATATATTTGAAGAAGGGCACAATCTTGCCAGTTTGAGCAATCATTTCTCATTTCACCATCTTTCCAATAGGAGGCAGTATAACACAGTGATGGAAAGTGTGAACAGAAAGACCCAGGTCAATTTTCAATTCTTTTAGAAGGTCACTTAAAGCCTCTATAAGCCTGAATTTCCTTATTTTTAAATGGGAGTAATAATAATAATAATACCGCCTCTTGGGGCTGTTGTGAAGAGATTTATCAGTGTAGCTACATGGTAAATATTACACTTAAGTCTGAGAAATGTGGACTTAATGTAAACCCAATATAAACCAAGAAATTGATTTATTTCTCTTTTAAATTTAATACATAGGCACAGTCAGATGTTGTTTTCTACCAGTTATAACAAGTATTTATGCCAATTTCTATCCCTGACTTCTCATAATTATATTATCAGAGTTACTCTAACAAATAACCAGAGTTTGCACGTCTCACAGTAATCTCTTTCTTTTTTCTTTATAGTCCTGGCATCATTTTTAAGGTGCCTCCACCTCCCCCTCCACTCTGGCATCTACCCCGGCTTCTCAGACCATGCTGCTGAGGGGACTGTCTTTCAGTCAGTTCAAAGGCAGCCCGTGGCTCTTACTAAGAGGGCCAGGTCACACTGAGAAGGGTAGTCTGTCAGTTGAAGAGTTTCCCAGGAGCCCGCTCAACAACTGAATTCTTTTGTTATAGAAACTGTACCTTGATAATGCTGGAGTAATTTGTTTAATCGTATATCCCAGATTTTCACAGTATGATCAGAACCTGCTGAAGCTATGCATGTACCATTAGGGCTAAAGTCCACAAAATTTGCAAACCTAGAAGGAAAGGATAAGATGGTCTCATATTTTGATTTTACTTCAATTTCTTTATTCGAACTGTAATAAATTAAATTTCTCCTTATTAAACCACATCACATAAATGCACAAGTAGAATAAACTTACCCTACAGAATCTGAGAAATTACTGACACACTGCTTACTTGTAGTATCCCAAATTTTTATAGTTTTATCCTCACTACATGATACAATTAGTCTTCCATCGGGTGAAAATCTGGAAAGCACAAGAAAGAAGACTGTTTCTGTGAAAGGTTCCCAATAATCACAATCACAGCCATCCCACTCCCACCATACACAGTCAGGCTGTACATATTAAATATTGGAGACCACTGTTACCACACGGTGCAGCAACGTCTTATTCTGCAACCACCATCTTTTCAACTAAAAATAAGCACGACAAAGGACACTGATAGGCCATTAAAAGATCAAATCACACCATATAGATCAGTGGTTCTCAACCTTCCTAATGCCACGACCCTTTAATACAGTTCCTCATGTTGTGGTGACCCCCAACCATAAAATTATTTTCGTTGTTACTTCATAACTATAATTTTGCTACTGCTATGAATCGTAATGTAAATATCTGATATGCAGGATATATTTTCATTGTTATAAATTGAACATAAATTAAAGCATAGTGATTAATCACAAAAATATGTAATTATATATGTGTTTTCTGATGGTCTTAGGCGACTCCTATGAAAGGGTCATTCGATCCCCAAAGGGGTAGCGACCCACAGGTTGAGAACCGCTGATATAGATTAACCAAGTTTCTTCTCCTTTCATTCTTTTATTTAAATAACTAGAGGCCTGGTGCACAAAAATTTGTGCACACGGGGGTGGGGGTGGGGGGAGTGTGTCCTTAGCCCGGCCTGCACCCTCTCCAATCTGGGACATCCCTCTCGAAATCCAGGACTGATGACCCCTAACTGCTCACCTGCTTGCCTGCATGATCACCCCTAACTGCCTCTGCCTGCCTGCCTGAATATGCACAGAGCAGGGCTGATCAGGGGGTTGAGGAGCTCCCCCCTCTCACTCACAGAGTAGGGCCGATAGGGGAGTTGAGGCACTGCCCCCTGTCACACACAGAGCCACGGGGCTATCTGGGGGTTGGGGCGCTGCCCCCTGTCATGCTGATCCCAGGGCCAGGAAGCCTCTCGGCTCCGCTGATCCCGGTGCTGGGAGGCATATTACCCTTTTACTATACAGGGTAGAGGCCTGGTGCATGGGTGGGGCTGGCTGGTTTGCCCTGAAGGGGGTCCTGGGTCAGGGTGGGGGTCCCCACTGGGGTGCCTGGCCAGCCTGGGTGAGGGGATGATGGCTGTTGGCAGCTGGTCACACACCCTTCAGGGTGGGGGTCCCTACTGGGGTGCCTGGCCAGTCTGGGTGAGGGGCTGAGAGCTGTTTTCAGGCTGGGACTGAAGCTCCCAACCGCTCCTTTTTTTCTTTTTCTTTTTTTATTCTGGGCCAGCTTTAGCTCTGAGGCCTCGGCTGCTGAAAACAGGATTATGGCCTTTGTTTACCGTCTGTATTTGATACAATGTTGCGGTCTGGCTGACTGAAGCCCCGCTGGGAACGTTGGAGTCCGCTGTCACTGAAGCAAGCAAGCCTCATGTTAGTTTCAAGCTACCTGGCTGCCGGCCGCCATCTTGGCTGCCAGTTAATTTGCATATCTCGCTGTTTAGCCAATGGGAAGGGTAACGGTCGTACGCCAATTACCATGTTTCTCTTTTATTAGTGTAGATTTAGCTTTATGGCACCTGTCGTAGTTTCTTGGTTCATTTCTGCACTCCTTCCAAACCAAGTACCTTGCCTTTTTTCTTTTTGCCATGTACCTTGCTTTTTAAAAAATCTTTATTTCTTTCTCCTATATCTGTCATTTTTTGGTGTTATCCATATGACCCAAGAGAGCCTTTATTGTTCACCCCCCCAACCCTGTAGTTAAGTTTTTTATAAGAAAAGGACTTGTGTGTTTAGAATTAAAATTAAATGATATCAACAAAAGAACCAGCTCCCCAAACCCATAAGTTCCTGGACATGAGGAGGCCAGAGAGCTCCACTGGACTGAAAATAGGACAACTCATTAACATGGAACGGAAACTCCTTCATGGACACACCTATCATCCACATGCCCCATTAAAAAACAAATGACTAAATTCTCACATGGCTTGTCTACTGTTTCTATGCTCTCCTTTCATTTTAAGATCCGTTTCAAAGTTTCCCCCCACCCTAAGTGCCTTTCTAGGATAGAAGGGCAGAAGACAAAAAAAATTTTTTTTAGACTACTAGAAAATTATGAATAGTATTTTTGTCATTAATATTTTAGTGATAATAAAACCCAAAAAGACAAATTTAGGCCACAGACTGATTATGTTTCAATCTTATTGGTATTTCTCTCTAGGCCCAGATTGCTATAAGTCATCAATTGTGGGTGTGGATTATAATTAAAGGCTTTTCTTTTTATTCTCTCTCATTTGATCCTCTCCTCCCTTCCTGTTCCTAAGGCTGACCTAAGAATAATTCTTCCTGACAGAAACTTGGGATCTGACGACTATGGATTCACCATTAAAAAAAGAAAAGACACAGAAGCACAATTACATTCTACATAAAATAATCTTTAAAATTCAAGAAAATAATCTTGTAAGAAAATAACTTCCATGATGGTAGTTCAGGGTGATTTTATAATAATGTAACATATTATTAATCTTTTCCAGCAGAAAGTATGTGATGAAGATTCAAATATGAAGGACAGTATTCTAGAAATACTCCAAACAGATGAAATTTATTTTGCACAGAGAAGCCTACTCAGTATCCCCATGAAAATAAACTTTACATAATAATGTAAACAACGAATTCAATGAATTAAATTGCATCTCTTAAGAAGCTATCTTTAAAAAATATTACCTAATGTGAATATTTCTTCAAATGGTAAGAATATTTCTGAGATGATTTGATTCTTACATTTTAAGAGAGCAATGATGAAAAAAAAGTAATAAAATGGAATGATCAGATTAAAAACAAAGTACAGAAATCCTCACCCACCCTATATTATTGACCAAATCCCAGCACCACCACCATCATCACTATCCTGCTAACCCTATAGCAACTCTTTTAATCCTCAATCAACCCTACAAAACAGGTGCTACTGCTAGCTTCAATTTACAGATGTATAAATGGGGCACATAAAGGATCAGTAACTGCCAGAGTCACACGACCAGGAAGATGAGAACCAGACAATCTGGTTCCATAGCTAAACTCTCAGTCACTCTGCTGGGTCCCTACTGAAAGGGAAGTGTCTTCTACTGGCCAAAGGATTTGGGACACATAGAGTTCTGTGTGGCTCCTGTGTGACCACAAAAGACCCTAAAGTGGAGAGGCTTGAAGCAGTGCTCCTCAGACACTGTGATCAGCTCTGACAGGCTAACCACTGGACTATCATTTAATAAAAATCCGCTTGCATTACCATACACTGTCAGTGTTCCAGATGAGTTTATGGGAAGGACATACATTCATTCATTCAAATATTCACTGAGCACCTGCCAGAACCAGGCACTGGACAACGTGCTGGGTCACAGGAATATAGTGGCAAATGAAATGGAGATCCCTGTGTCCAGGAAACTTTCTATCTAGGGAGTTAACAGAAGGGAGGGCACACAAATATTATGTTGTAGACAGTGATAAAAAAAATGTGTCAATTTATCATTAGAAACTCTATCGAAGAAACATGTTTTTAAAGCAACTTGTGAAAAAGAGAAAGGAGGTACAGTGGGGCCTTAACTTATGAGTTTAATTCGTTCGGAGACTGAGCTCGTTAAGGAGCTCATTAACTCAAATTACTCTATCAACTCAATGCAAAAAATCGGCTGAGAGACAGCTGGTATCTCAAAAAACTCGTTAGTCGGGACACTCGTAAGTCAAGGCCCCACTGTATCCTGGCCAGATAGAATTCATCCTAAGGAGGGGCTATAAATAAGAGACACTTTTCAAACTAGAAATTTATCTTGAGCAGGATGGGTTCTAGTCTGAGAGAAGCTTCCCCATGCTAAAGAAAGGAAGGGAGGGCAAACATCCGATAGAGAACAGAGGAGGTAGTAGGAAGAAGCTGGCAGCAGAGGGAGAGGTTTCTACCTCCAACTCCACATGACCAGAGAGGCACTCAGGGTAAAGGCCACTCCTCTGGACACTATTATTATAATTCCTGCTTTCTGTATATGTTTTTTGCCTTTGGAGGGGTTAAAAGTAAAGATGGTGGCTTGTATCTTCTCCTTCCCCTTTACTTTTAATTAGATTCATAAAAAAATAAGTAAGCACCAATAAAATGGGCTTTTCTTTGCCCTGACTTTGATCAGGGCTCTGAGACATTAATAGATTTCTAATTCTCTAATTCAGTACCATCAACAGCCTTTTAAAATTTCCAGAGACTGTGTCACCAAGATGGATATTATATTAGTCAATGGTGACTAATGGATCAGGAAATGTGGACTGTCTATAAGGCATTTGAAAAGTTAATTGAACTAGTTACTATTCAATCCTTTAAAATGTATTGGTACTCATTTGAGAGAATGAGGAAATTCTTGAACACTTTCCAGAAAAACTGGTTCACATTTCCTTGAAAGCAGCCTAAGAGTTATATAACAGATCTTTAACTTGGAATCTATGGAGTTCCCAAAACTGTATGTAAAACTGCATGTCTATATGTACATAAATAGTTATTCATTAATTAAACAGCCAAATGGGCCCATGAACCATGAGATGTTTCTAAGTGGTTTCATAAGCAATCAAAATATTCATTTAAATATTTATCATTAGATAAGTATTCTATAAAAACAAATTTCTAGCCCTCAGGATTGTGAGACCAGAGTGGGCATTGTCCATGTCCTTTAAGAAACAAATCATTAGTACGTGGTACTCTGAAGTCAGCAGTATTCAACAGGAGAGGGAAGCAGCAAAAAGCAGTGGAAATAAGACTGCCCAGTTAATACAGAGTTTTGCAACTGCCCAGCTCTGTAATCTTGTGAAACTCATAACCCCCCTGGCCACCACTTTCTATTTAGATAATGTGAGACTTTCGATTGCATTCAGACCTCAAACTTTCATAGACTCAAAAAACAAGCCGTTTCAGTTTGCTTTAATGGGATTGTGTTTACATACTGAAGTTGAAGTTCAAGACAATAAGCAAAACATTTATGTTTTTTTAAGTGCTGGTCAGCATTA